CGTGAAGGAATGGAAGTGTCCCGCTGTCGGACACCGCAGCGGCGTAGCTGTGTGTCTGCCCTGGCGCAGAAGGGCCAAGCAGGAGGCTTCTTACAAGGGGGGAGAAAAGCAAAGGGAGAAGCCTCATTGACCGTTGATAGAAGAACGTGTGTTGCTGTGTGTCCCCACTTTAGCCGTTTTAGATGCAAGCCCTCGTTGTGGTTTGGCAGCGGCGTAGGATGAGTGCCAACAACCACGCTAGGGGTCCCAAACGCCTTCGTGACTCCTTCACTTTCCAAGTTAACTGAGCAGATGGGCCCTGGTCTGGCAGGGCAGTCACCTGTGAGTGAACTGCTGCATCTGAAGTGCGTGGAGTGCTGCAGGGTGGTGGATATCAAATTTGCTGTGCTGCAGGAGTGATCTGTAAACACAGGTTTACACTCGTTGGGCCTACCCTTTATTTACTGTCAAGTTGGATAGATCTGTCAATAACCTGAGAATATATAGCTGAAATGCAACATTTGTACAAAAGGCTGTATCAAGTCTGAAAGTGCTTGAGGACTAAAAATATTCTAGTATTCACTTAAATATAAGGTGTTCAGATTTGCTTTTGAGGTTATAATACTTCAAGTTACTTTTGAATATTGAATAAGATTAAGCTGTTTGCTGGCTTCCCAAAATGCATTCTCAAAATGCAGAGTGAGCGTTAAAGACGGTGGTTCCCCTTGAGGAAGGGGGAGGCCTCTTTGTTGCATGGTTGCAGTACAAACCAGCAGTGTGTATGTGTTGCAAAAGTCTCTCTTGTAAGATTTTGCACATGCTCACATCAAGTGGAAGTTGAGATCCTGCTGATCTAGAAAGCAGAATAAGAATCCTTGTTTGTGGAGGGAATTAGGAGATAAAGTCTGTTTGCTGTTAGTAGAAGTCTTGGTTGATGTTCTTGTGTTACAGAGGAAAATATGAGAATTAAACTAAATACATTTTTTCTTTTTTCTATGCTTGATGGTTGAAGCTTTTTTTTTTTTTTTGAGTGGCAAACTTCATTATCACCTTTGAAAAAAAATTGCACTTTCTTTACAAAGCTGAACACTAAGAAAAGAGGAGCTTTGGACAAAGAAATCTCCTGGGAATTTAGATGTAAAAATGGACAATTATAACAACAACAACAAAAGAAGTATTATGGCATTGCCTGTAGGAATTTTACGTTCATTATATGGACTTATGATCGTGGTTACGCAATAGAAAGTTATACACGTTCCTTGATCCTGAACCTTTACTTGTCCAGCTGGATTCTTGTCTCTTCTGCTGTAATTGTTAACAAAGATCCCTTTACTTTTCCCCATGTTTCCCTCCCTCACATACTGAGCTAAGAAAGAAACAAACTTCTTTTCTCGTTAGCAGAAATACTAATAAATATTTTAGAAATAGAATTAGAGTTGTTCAACACATGTTTCTAAGCTAAATATTAGAAACAGAGCTTTGGATTATTTTAATGATTTAAATATTTTGGGGTGAAAATGGTTCATGAAAAAAAAAATAAAGAGGTTTGCTCCAAGATATGCAAATCTTGAAAAAGAGATCATGAAGTTTTTTAGTCCCCAGTGAAACCTGCAGCATAAATAAGAGGCCTTTTTAATTGGATTTTTTCTGAAGTGCCTTAATTCTTGGGAAACTGCTCATTTAGATGCAGAATAGAGCTCTTTTATTTGCAATTTATGCACATCTTAAAAGGACAATCTTTTTTCCTGTTACGCTTAAAAACTGGTTTAACCTCCCAGATTGCTTGCAGAACATTTCACATGCATATGGAAGTACTTGAACTGGTTTGACCGTTTTGAGAGGAGTAGATAAGGCTTTCCTCAGGTCTGAGAACCTGTTTGGCCTACACCAAGTGTCTGCTGACATGGACCTAGGAGAGCTGAAAATGCCTCCTCCCTGGGTCAGACCTCCTGCCTTGTCTGCCTGAGAGGAGGTTTTGTTGGGCTGGAGCAAAACTTTTACCTGTGGCTGTTTTGTTTTATTTCCATCCCCTCTCTTCTGGTCTCCTGATGTTAGCTCTTGTCTGCTTTGTCTGCTTGGCTAACAGCATGGTCACATAGTTTTCTGAGTCATTCTTCCTCAGGATTTTAAATAGCTGGGAGAGCTTTTGCTTCCTGCCGTTTCAGCAGATGACCGCAGCAAGAGAGTGAAACTGAGCAAAAGACGGAGTGCAGCTACTGGGCCCTCAGAGTCATTTTTCTGAGCATTAGCAGTGTTTTCCAGCCACTTCACTCCTGAATCCGTTCCCTAAAATTCTCTCCTAGGACTGCTTCTGACAGAGCACTATAGTTGTGCAAGCAGCATTTTGTGAAATGTGTCTGTGTGATAAACCTGTATTGTTTCAGTGTAGCTAACACAAGTTTGCAGCGTCTCTTCTAGTCAAAACCTCTGACTGGTTCAGGACTGAACATTCAGATTCAGATGTTGTGTCAGGAGTGCTTTTAATTGAGGTGCATCTCTGAATCATGTCTTTAGACCCGGCTGTGCTTTCAAACATGCTCGTGGCAGTTGCACTATAATATATCTGTATTGGAAATCCAGTGTTATGGCTACAGGCTTGTCAGTATGTAACCTGAGAAATTTTCTTTTGACGTAAAACTAAGATCTGATACTGCAGAGGTAGCTTAGCCTTGGCATTTAAATAGCAGGATTCCTCAAAGAGGTTGGCTAGTCCTAAGTAGCAGATTGCTGTGAAGATGTTGTTAACTCTGCCTTGCCCGCAGCAGTAAGCAGCTCTTCTGCCATGTGCTTCCTCCAACAAGTTGCACCTTGTACGTGATTTCTCTCTTCCTACACTGAATGCCAAATACTGTTTCTGCAGATGGGAATAGAAATACCTATTTTGCTGGTATTATTAATGGAACAAAAGATCCATTATCCTTTAGTGAAACTTTTTAGATCATGATTCTATGGGTTCTGTGGTTATCTAGACTACCAGAAAGTTGAGATGTGAAGGCAGAATGTATCCTGCACTTCTTGTGGTTGGTTGCAAATTTTGTTTTTTGTTTTGCTTCTGTTTGCTGTGTTAAGGTTTTCTTTTAAGTGGAAATTTTGTAGATACTGTTCAAGACCTCTGTTTTGGGTTCTTTCATTTTGAAAGCACATTTGACCATATATTTGGTACCAGTCCTCTTTGACCTTTTTCTTGTTTGGCTGAAAACTTTATTCAGTAAAATATACATCTGTCTTCCGTGTGGTGGCCTTTCCCCAGCTGGAAGCATTTGCATATGTTCATTTGAAATGCAGAGGCCATGTGAGGAACTGCTGAAATAGAGATTTTTTTTTTAATTCCTCAGGAAGTTTGTATTTGTAGGCCCCTTTACAGAGTGGGTCAACTGTTCTATAATTTACCAAAAAAAAAAAAAAAGTTTATTCCCCCTCTTCAATTACCTTCTTTTTATACTAAGTTGTTTTTATTCCATGTATATCTGTGCTTTTAAGTATTTTTCTGGTTTTGTGCAGATGTAAGGATTGCAGAGATGAGCTAAGCCTGTTTAAAATCTCTCTTCTGTATCACCACAGAGTTGTAGGGTTTCATTTTCTTCTAATGGTATCATCACATCTGTATCTCTTACCTGTTGAAGAAAACATATATTTTCAGGAGTGGCTATGCTGCTGATCACAGCAGGTGATGGAAATAGTTCTGTTTAGCTATGTCTCTTTTCAGACAGGGAGGAAAAAAAGGAGAACTTGTTGGTATTAGTGAAACATAGATTAATGTGTCTGGTAGATCACAGTCTCTGCACCTGCTGTGACAGACCTGTAAGTAGATTGAGCAACCTTTTTTATTTTTGTTGACCGCTCAATAATATGGTAAGGAGTCTGAAAGATTGCATTCTGAGCAGGAAGCTATGTTTCACATGTTTAAGACTGTGTAATGATTCAGTTTTGAACATCTTCTCTGTGTTTAACAACAAATGATAAGTTATTGGTGATCAAATGAACACCAAAAGAAAAAAAAAAGAAAAAAATAGGATATATGCTGTTATATGCAGGACATATTTTTTATTTCACATCGCTCATAACCTTCTTCCAACAGAGTTAATATATGCTATACTAATATGTATATACTAATATATATATATATATATATATATACACATTAATACTAATATACCGGTATTAGGTGATAGGCTTTTTTGGTCTATTGCTAAAAATTCAAGCATCGTCAGAAAAACTTTGCTTGATGACTGTATTAACTTACACTAAAACACTTAGTATCACTAAAACAAGTGGTACTAAGCTAATACTAAATGAAGATGATAGCTGAAGATGGTAGTGTACGTTTCAGATGCATGTTATAAAGGAGGAAACAACAGACTGAACATGTTGATAACTGTAGACATAGTTCTTCATGTATTCGTTTGACCCGTACTTAGTCTTAGATTTAGCTTCACTGGGGCTTGTCCAGATTCTGATTTTTTTTTCTCTTTTAATCATTTTCCTTGTTTCTGAAAAGCTGCCTAATAGTGGTGGTATGGTACTGAAAATCACTTTGAAAAAAAGGTTCTTTTGGCGTGATTCAGTATGTGCTCAATTTTAGCTCAAAGTTCTGCCCCCTCACTTATATCAGAGGTTGTGAGATGCTGCTCAGATAAACCAATTTTCTGCTGAGAACTGTGAGCTGTAAACAGTGCAGAAGAAAACTTTCCTGTTAGGTGTTTATCTCAAGGTAGGAGATGAGGAGAGGAGCCTTCTTCCATTGCCTTTTGAAATAATTAATGGTTTTATCAGAGAGATGAACTTATTGTGAATTTCACTTGATTATCTTTTTCGTTTTTACTGTGGTACCCTTTTGAGGCTATTGAGCTAGAAGATAATATTCTCACACTCTATTCTTACTGGTCCGTCAAATGTACTTCATACTGACAGCTTTTGGCTTTGATTTCTGTAGAGTAATTGCAGACATTAAAAGTATGCAGCAGGGGAGGGAGAGGAAAATGGCTCCAAGATTTGATTGCAGTTGATGCTTTCTTCTTTCTTGGCTTAAAAAACTTTGGTTTTGCTCCAGCTTCAGAGTCCAAATGCAGGGTTACTTAATTAAATTTGTAAGTTCAAGACATCAGTTGAGCTGGCTATTGGTTACTCAAACAGTTGCACTCAGTTAAGACAAACTGGCAGCAAGGGAAGTAGGGTGACAGTGTCTCTTCTGTGGCTTAAATTGCCAACAGCCTGGCAAGTCCTGCCTCACAGTGAAAGGGATTAAGGCAATTCTTCCCTCCACCCACTCATAATGGTTTTCTGACCTGCAGAGTTGTCTTGCACTGTGTTCCTGTCTTGCTGTCTGGCTTCCCCATGCATTCCTATGAGCTGCACAGTGCTTCTCAGTCAGTGCGATGACTAAGAGACAGTATGGAGAGCAGGGTGGAAACCTATGATGGGTGAAAAACTGTCTAAAGTTAGAAAAGAGGGTGTCTACCAGCTCTATGTTTCTGCAAATGTCAGAAGCTTCTGAAGGGGATTTAAAGCTGGAGCTATGTTTGAATGGAGCACCTTGGGCACACAGGGGAACAGTTTTTTGACTGGGGTATGCAAGAAATGTTTTGAGAATGGAGGAAATGTTGCTGCATTATAAATGTCATGGTAATGTGGTTCAGCACCTACATTGGTAGAGGTTTTCCACACCATTTAACTATGAGTTTCTGGCTAGTGTTTTTGTCCTTTCTGGAAGTCCATTAACTATTGGGAACTGAGCCTGTCTGGGTAGCTAAGTTTAGATAGCAGTGTTAAACAGAAACTGTGCTGTATGTAATAGATATTTTGGGGGCACTAGAAGGTCTGGGAAAGGAGTCTGTGTTTTATATGCTCTGGAGTTGTAGAGTATTAAATGAGCTGCAATCTTTCTCCTTCTTCAGAGTTGTATAAACCTGTGAGTAACTGTTTGCCTTGGAAGCAAGGTATCCATAGTTTTACTTTAGGATAGAAGGAGGTAGAAACTCTGTTTGTATTTGATTTGAACAGAGATTATAGTTCTCATATCAATTCAATGGGTGATCAGGAAAAATAAGATGGAACCTCAACACTCTAGAGTGGTTTAGGGGACATAATTATATGAACTATGCCAAAAGATGCCTGTTCCTTGGTGATGTTTTTTGATGGAAATATTAGAAACGGTGTGTTTCTAACAGAACTTGTTCTATATTATTAACATTAAGTAAGTTTCTATGAAGTCCAAGAAAATAAGTGCTGAAATACAAATCCTGGGAAAGAACAGCTTTTCCACTGCAGAATATGATAAACTTACTAGTGTGCTGCTGTACATCTGTGTTACTAATTCTAGAATCTATTTAGCTGGAAATTTCTTAGCCTGCTTGGTAAAAAATTGTTGCGAACTCTTTCTGAAGCCCATTTTTCAGCTCCTCAGCTTTTCTTGCTCTAATGATTCTGTGAGAGACTTGAGTGTTTCCAGGCTGATCAGACAGCTTGTGCTGATGATATTTCAGTCCAAGTTACTTCTGTTGAATTCATCTTTTATGTCTTTTGAGGGATAATTCTTTATTCTACCTGTCAATAAAGAGCATTTTTCACCTAAATTAGAGCTGCAAGAGAGTGGAGTTGTGGGCTTTAAATAGTTACTCCTCTTTTTTTTTCTTTTGCTGTGTTTTGCAAGTGCAAAGTTGTCATCTATGTTGATCCACTTTTTTTTTTTTTTTTTTTGTAAGTAGCATTAGAAATAAATATAGTTCTGGGCTACTTGCATGTCAATTTTTTGTCTCTAGGTATTCTCCAAGAAGTTAAAGCTCTTTGCTTTAATTCATCAAATAAAAACTTTGCTTCATTGCATGTGCTTTATCTTAGTAAGGATCAATTTTGGCATATTTTTTTGGTGCTATTGAGGTTTTTCATAATCTAATCTTATTTTTTTTAAAAAAATGTTCTAGGGCTCATTGAACACTATTT